GTACTTATTTGAAGCAACAATAATCTGGTGGCTCCTCTGAGGTTCTCGTATCTCCTGTGGCCTCAGCTTCCTGTGAGTCTGATGCTGCGCTGCCACCTTCTGGTCAGAAACACTGAATGATGTGTGTGAAAAGACAAAACACTCAAGTATCACCCCCTCTCCTGACGTGATACTGACTGTGCAGATTAAACCCCTCCTGGGCTCGAGACTCAAGACTCTATTGTTGTTTCACCCACGGTCGAACGAGAGAGTTGCTTCTCACCAGCTCACCTTCAGAGCTTCACTGGTGTGGAGACTGGGCTGGGGCAACTCTCAGGAGAAAACAGAGCAGTCTTTACAAACAGCCAGCACTGCACCAAGTGCCGAACACAAGAGCATGAAAGCATTAAAACATAAACTTTATGACATAAAAACACGAGGCAACAGTCGCAGAGGAGTTTCAGACGTGGACAGAGTAGTCGGTGCCCTTCAGTCAGTGAAAGAAAAGCCCACACGTATCACAGAAACTTGAATCTGTCAAAAGTTTTAAATAAAATTACATGAAATGTAACCATTGAAGTTCAGACACTGCTCTTCAACCAGGCTTCAGTGGAATTATTTAAAAAGATTAACTCATAGAGCAGGCCTAGGCAAAAATTATGGTACCCCTAACTTAACCTTTTCAGACAGCCACTGCAATCAAACGATTCCTGCAACTGTCAGTGAGACCTCTGCACCTCTCAGCAGGTATTTTGGCCCACTCCTCATCAGAAAACTGCTCCAGTTGTCTCAGGTGTGAAGAGCGCCTTTTCCAGACAGCATGTCCTTTGCCAGTCTTTCCAAGGGGTGCCATCATTTTTGTCCAGGCCTGTTCTGTTGGTTTTTTGTTTTTTTCTAACCCTCTCAGGCTCAAAATAAGTTTTGATAGAAGGACGAACAACTAAGCCCTTCGGGGTACTTCCGAGTTAAAAAATGCTCATGAAACACGTGTGTGGAGTAACCAGGTAGGTAGGTTTTAAAGTTGCTAATCTGCAACGCCTGCCTCCAGAGGGTTAATAATTCAGTTGAAGCCTTGTTGAAAAGCAATGTCAGCGTTGCAGGTTTGTGTCCCGCTCATTCTGTTGCAGTCGTTGTGTCCTTGGGCAAGACACTTCACCCTCCTTGTATGCTAGGGGTGATCGGAGAGAAAGAAAGGAGAAAGATCCTTTGACAATCATATAAAAGAAGTTTAATACGAACTGTGAACAGGCAGCCAGAGCAGTGAGGGTAAACCAGTGAGGATGATCGGTTGTTTCCGTGGAGCGCTGGTTAAAAGCCGAGAGCAGCATTTGAGAGAACTGGCTAATGCTAAGGGGTGGAGCCTCAGGGGGGGGTAGCGGGCCCCAAGCCCAGCTCTGATTTGTTCTGCTTGTGCTAATGCTAATACACAGAGTAGTAGTAATTCAGACAAGTTGTTATGAAAGCACATATTGCTGATCAAGTCTTCTACAGCAGTGGCAGCGTGGTGAGAAATATCTCGGTGCCAAAAGATGTTCCTTTCTAGTTATGCAGTTGGAAGATTACAATAATCCCTCAACAATCATTTCTTTCCCTTCTTCAGATCAGCAGCTTCATAAATAAACAGACCAAACAATCACCTGCATATCCTCGAGATAAGGGTCGTTTTCCACTATCAGAACCTCCAGGTAACGGTGAAGCTCTCTGACAACAAAGATGCTCGATTGCTTAATGGAAAATTAAAGAAAGGGCAGGAGCCATCCAAGTCTGCTGACCTGGTGTGTGTGTGTGTGTGTGTCCACCATCATGATGGGAGTGTCAGACAGGGTTATGGGGGAGTGGGGCTGTGTGCTCCCCTGTATTCTGGTTGTTGAGCACCAGGTTGTTGTGGCTGCACCAGGACACCAGCCGTTCCACCTCCGTTCAGTAGGCAGACTCATCCCTGTCGGAGACGAGTTTGATGACGGTGGTGTCATCTGCAAACTTGATAAGCTTGACAGACTCGCTGTTGGAGGTGCAGCTGTGAGTGTACAGGGAGAAGAGCAGAGGGGAGAGAACACAGCCCTGAGGGGAACCGGCACTGATGGTCTGCGGGTCAAAGAGATTCTTCCCCAGCCTGACTTGCTGCTTCCTGTCTGTCAGGAAGTCAGAGATCTACCTGCATATGGGGTCGGGCACGTTTATCTGGGACAGTTTGGATTGGAGGAGGTCTGGGAGGATTGTTTTGAAGGCAGAGCTGAAGTCCACAAACAAGATCCTGGAATGGGTACCCGGGCAGTCCAGATGCTGCAGGAGGAAGTGTAGAGCCATGTTGTCTGGCATGAAGGAACGGCCATCATTCCTGTTTGGATGACTCGGTGCAGAATACATGTCTGACATTCTCAACAACCAGGCAGCTTCAGGCAGTCATAAAGACGTGACCAATCAGCACACAACTCATTTATGTTAATGTCCAGGTGGAGTGGGCAGCCTTTATTAAAAGGCTTTATTTGGTCATTTATCAGGGCTCCTGGGCTATTGTGAGCTCCCAACAGTTTCAAATGCTTTATAGAGGATCAAAGAACAGCTCCCAATTGTAAAAGAAAAACTCATTCCTGGGAAACTTTAATAGGAATACCTACATTTAATTTCCATTTCAGATTAATAAAGTTTTTTTGAGTTTGAATTAAATTGAAGAAAAGATCCTCAGACCTTCATCTACCCGGCTACCTCTTCCAACGCATCCAGAGAGACTCCAAGGTCTCACCAAGCCAGTGGAAATAAAACCATTCAGGAGACATCTAAACCTGGTCTCATCACTTCCTGTAGTGGGAGTGGCCAGGCTTGTCACCGCTCGGCTAAGCTGGGACGTCGTTGGAGAGGAATTCAGATGTCTAGCTCCATCAGCCGGATTAGGGCATTTTCATACATTTAAAAATATGTCAATCATTCGTTTTTCAGACCCTGCATGTAAACGCGCCAAGTGTGGCTGTTTATGACATGAAGATGTAAAGTAGAGAAGGGTTGTGACTTTGTACAAACCACAGACAGACACTGTCTGGACTCACGCGGCCGCCATCTTGGATGGGTTCCAATTCGCTCCCAGTGCATCTATTTCTACTGAGGAAGTTGTTAACGCAACAAAAAAACACATTTTATCATGCTTTATCACTAAATCAAACATGGTATGGCCTCATAGTTAAAATATAAATATAATTAAATGAATAAAGACACCAGCCAGAACCGCCGCAAGCTTCCCAGCAGGGGCGTGCTTCCTCTGAAATCTGCGCCATAATTTGCCCACCAGAGTCCACTTGGTTCGCTTAGAGTAAAGGTTGGAGTAAAGCTCACCAACCTGGCAAGCACGCCGGAGCCTCTGACGGGTCACGAAGCTGCAGTGGTCTGCAAATATGGAGAGTAGTCCTTTCCTCTTTGGACCATCAGCCCTGCTGGCACTGGCCCGTGCCCTCTGGAGCCAGGACAACAGCAGGCCCACATTCCTGCCCAGCCAAGGGAGCCTCTCAAGCCTACCCCTGCCCCCATCTACTGCACGTCCAAATAACCTACAGTCCTGGAGCTTCATTGTGTTTACTCCGATCTCACAAATAGGACGACGGGAAACCGACTGAAACATGACAGCCGCGACCGTGACACAAGGCTCGAAAGACGAGATAAAGCCGAATATAATCGCACGTGCCTGATCTGAACTCGAGTGGTGTATCGTTATTGGATTTCTGTGCAAGCCGCAGTTTGGCCATAACGAACACCATGTTCGAACATAAGGATGCCCATCGGTACACTTGGTACCAGGGCAGCGAAGGTCGCAGGTCGATGGTAGACTTTGTAGTCGTATCATCTGACCTGCGGCCGTATGTTTTGGACACCCGAGTGAAGAGAGGAGCGGAGCTGTCAACTGATCACCACCTGGTGGTGAGTTGGATCAGATGGGAGGGGAACATGCCGCGTAGACCTGGCAGACCCAAACGCATAGTGAGGGTCTGCTGGGAACGCCTGGCGTAATAGAACCTGTCAAGACGGTCTTCAACTCCCACCTCCGGCAGAGCTTTGGGATGAGGATCAGCACCTCCAAATCTGAGACCATGGTTCTCGGCCGGAAAAGGGTGGCTTGCCAACTCCGGGTCGGGGGAGAGGTCCTACCTCAAGTGGAGGAGTTTAAGTATCTCGGGGTCTTGTTCACGAGTGAGGGTAGGAGGGATCGGGAGATCGACAGGCGGATTGGGTCGGCGTCTGCAGTGATGCGGACGCTGAGCCGATCTGTCGCGGTGAAGAGGGAGCTGAGCCAGAAAGCCAGGCTCTCGATTTACCGGTCGATCTACGTCCCAATCCTCACCTATGGTCATGAGCTTAGGGGAATGACCAAAAGAACGAGATCGCGGATACAAGCGGCCGAAATGAGTTTCCTCTGTAGGGTGGCCGGGCTCAGCCTTAGAGATAGGGTGAGGAGCTCGGACATTCGGGAGGGACTCGGAGTAGAACCGCTGCTCCTCCGGATCGAAAAGAGCCAGTTGAGGTGGTTTGGGCATCTGGTCAGGATGCTCCTGGACACCTCCCTGGGGAGGTGTTTCGGGCATGTCCTGCCGGCAGGAGGCCCCCGGGTCGACCCAGGACACGTTGGAGAGGTTACATCTCCAATCTGGTCCGGGAACGCCTTGGGGTCCTGCTGGAGGAGCTGGTGGAGGTGGCCGGGGAGAGGACGGTCTGGAGCTCCCTAGTTGGGATGCTGCCCCCGCGACCCGGACCCAGATAAGCGGAGGAAGACGAAGACGAATCCCACGTGATCTGTGCATCCATAGGCTGCACAACAAACAGGAATATTGGTCCACCCTGCGTGAACTCCAGTTAGGCTTGGAGAGTGAGGAACCCATCCAATATGGCAGCGATGCCATTACGCTCCCCAGCGCCCAATGGGGCGTCTAAGTATTCATGTCCATGGTAGAAACGCCCAACAGGATTTCTAGCAGACTTAGTAGCGACACTACGGCTCGGCTCACCTCAGGTGCATGTAATCTCACAACAGACAAAAACAGCTTCCAAAAACTGTTTATGCACATAAAAACAGGTCATTCTGAAAGAAACAGGCAGCAGTAATAAGGCCTTAATCTGACATCAGAACAGCGGTTTGTCTTTTTTATATGAATATACAATATTCTATGGTTGAACATAAATTACTGCTCTGACAAACGAGGTTAGGCATCAAATGTTTCAAACATTTAAATTTCAAAAGGAAGAAAACTATCTCCAGTTTCATCGTCAGGACAAGTCTAACAGCAAATTACATTTTTACACCGACCGTCTTTGAAACGTCCAGAACAAGCGTCGTCGGATTTGGCCGTTGGTTCCTCATAAAGCTAATAAAGACTTGCAGTTGTGATGCAGAAGTCCGTGAATAAAAACATGTTCAGTCAGATGTAGTCGTCGTCCACGGGCTCTCCTGGAGTATCACAGTAATGAAGGAAGAGGACCACCACTCGTTGAAAAACACCTCTTTTCCTCTGTCTGCACTCTGAGATCTCCTCACCAATGGTCTCCATGCAGATGTCAGCAGACAGCTGTCCTTTACGCCGTGGAGCGTAGATGGTGGCTAACACACGACACACAGAAAACGGGTTTATGTCAGCATGGCGCATCTTTGGCTGTCACAAGGACATTGATGTAATAAAAACACTCAAGAACAACTTACACACATCCTTTACCTGTAATATTTATGGTAAAAATGGTAAATGGACTTTATTTGTACAACTCTTTATAGGGTTGCTACCCCCAAGGCACTTTACAACTAACTAGTCACTCACCCATACACAAACACATAAAAGCCCATTAATGCTTGTTAATTTCCTTCCATTTAACAATACGCTGGCTTCCCTTTCCCACTTTTCTCCTATATAGTCTCTTTTCAAGTCTTCTAGAGCCAAGTACAGTCTAGGAAGTATTTTCTGAGTCGCCCGTGATTCATACGCCTCGGTCATGAGTTTAGTTTATCTTGTCCGGTTTGTATTATTCTCAAAAGCTGAAAATAAAGAAGCACATGTCCCTTTATTGATGGAATATGTGCATTTACATTTTATTCTTTTATTCTTTCAGAAAGAAGGTTGTAAAAATATGGACTGTTAATATAAACAGCTGTCAGAGCAGGTCGATGGATGTTTTTACAATACTTACTGCTTTCATCATCCTCAAAGTCGCAGCGGGCATAGCTGTTAGGATTGGTCGCCCGAAGAGTTCTTAGCCAGGGAAAATCTGTCACCATGCTGTAGGGAGCACAATCCACCACTCCTAAAAATCATATCGAAGAGGAATGGAGAAGACAAGAACATGGTTACCCAAACTTCTTTTTACAAATGCCTCGTGACCCATCTATCGAATTATCTAAAGGTTTCTATATTAAGGGTGCAACAGTACATTTGTGTGTGTGTATATATATTTATAAATAAATTGCCATCTCTCCCTCCGTGGGTGTTCTCATCCTTCCAAGCTCAGGTCCTCTACCAGAGGCCTGGGAGCTTGAGGGTTCTGCAGTATCTTAGCTGTTCCTAGAGCTGCACTTTTCTGGACTGATGTTTTTCTTGGGATCTGCATTAGCCACACCTCCAGTTTGGGGGTTACTGCCCCGAGTGCCCCTATGACCACTGGCACCACCAATGTTTTCATTCTTCAGGTTTTCTAGGTTTTTGTGTTTCTTTTTCATGATGTTGCATCACTTGGCATCGCCACATCAACCACAATGGCTGTCCTCTGTTGTTTGTCCACCACCACAATGTCCCACAGGAGCTTGGCTCTCTCGTTTTCAACCACCTTAGGGGGTGTTACCCACTTTGACCTTGGGGCTTCCAGTCCATACTCTGAACAGATGTTCCTGTACACGGTGCCAGCCACTTGGTTGTGGCGATCGATGGATGCTTTCCCTGCTAGCATCTTACACCCTGCAGGTATGTGGTGGATTGCCTCAGGGGCCTCTGAATAGCCTACACCTTGGGTCTTGTCTGGTGTGGTAGATCTTGGCCTCTGTTGCTCTGGTGTTCAGGGCCTGTTCCTGTGCAGGACTTTAACATTCACATGGGCAATGACCTTGAGACCTTGAGAGGTGTGGTTGGGAGGAACGACCCCCAGATTTCAATCCGAGTGGTGTTTTGTTATTGGACTTCTGTGCATGTCATGGATTGTCTATAATAAACACCATGTTCAAGCATAAAGGTGTCCACTAGTGTTTGTTGTTAGCCTCAAGGGCAAACTGCTGGCTTCATTATCACTTGTAAGTCGCTTTGGACAAAAGTATCTGCTAAATACATAAACACGTGTGCTCTTGGCACCAGGATACCTTAGGCTGCAGTTTGATGATCAACTTTCTTGTTGTTTCATCCGATCTGCGGTCGCATGTCTTGGACACTCGAGTGAAGAGAGGGGTGGAGCTGTCAACTGATCACTACCTGGTCAGTTGGCTTCGATGGTGGGGGAGGAAGCCGGTCAGACCTGGCAGGCCTAAACGTAATGTGAGGATCTGCTGGGAATGTCTGACAGTCTCCTGTCAGAAGGAGCTTCGTATCCCACCTCTGACAGAATTTCGAACACATCCAGAGGGAAGCGGGGGTACACTGAGTCCGAGTGGGCCATACTCCGTACTTCCATTGTCGAGACAGCTGACCGGAGCTCCGGCTGCAGGGTCGTTGGTGAATGTTGTGGTGGCAACCCTGAACCCGTTGGTGGACACCAACGGTTAGGGATGATGTCAAGCTGAAGAAAATGTCCTATTGGGTCTTTTTGGCCTGTGGGATCCAGAGGCAGCTGATAGGTACCGGCAGGCCAAGTGGAACATGGCCCAGGTGGCTGTGGAAGCAAAAAGTTTGGCGAGACCATGGAGCAAGACTTTCGAACAGCTTCGAGGAGATTCTGGTCCACCATCTAGCGTCTCAGGAGGGAAAAGCAATGTGCTACTAGCACTGTTTACAGTGGTGACGGTGAGCTGCTGACCCCTACCCGGGTCGTTGTGGATCAGTGGGTGGATTTCTTCGAAGATCTCCTCAATCCCACCAGTATGTCTTCCAGTGAGGAAGCAGAGTATAGGGACTTTGGGTTGGCCTCTCCAATCTCTGGGGCTGAGGTCACTTAGGAGGTAAAAAAACTCTGTGGTGGCAAGACCCGGGGTTGTATGAGATCTGCCTGGAGTTCGTGAAGGCTCTACAAAAATCACATGGACATCAGGGACAGTTCCATTGGACTGGTAGACCGGGGTGGTGGTTCCCCTATTTAAAAAGGGGGACCACAGAGTGTGTTTCAACTACAGGGGGATCACACTCCTGAGCCTCACCGGTAAGGTCTATTCAGGCATTCTGGAGAGGAGAGTCCGTCGGATTGTTGAACCTCAGTTTCAGGAGGAACAATATGGCTTTTGTCCTAGCCGTGGAACACTGGACCAGCTCTATACCCTTAGGGGGTCCTGGAGGGTGCATGGGAGTTTGCCCAACCCATCTACATGTGATTTGTGGAGTATGGGGTACCAGGCCCTTTGATACGGGCTGTTAGGTCCCTGTACGACCGGTGTCTTGGTCCGCATTGCCAGCAGTAAGTTGAGCTCATTTCCTGTGAGAGTTGGACTCCACCAAGGCTGCCCTTTGTCACGATTCTGTTCATAACTTTTATGGACAGGATTCCTAGGTGCAGCCAAGGTGTTGACGGCATCCGTTTTGGTGACCTAAGGACCAGGGGCCTCATTTATGAAGCTTGCTTATGCACAAAACGGGGTCGGAAAACTGCGTAAGCAACTTTCCATGCAAACTTTGGGATCTAAAAAAAAGCTTAACGGGAAAATGTGTGCAACTTTATGTTGACTAAAGACCTGGCTTACGTATATTTTGGACATGGAGAGCACCTGCAGTGCTTCTGCTAAGAAGGATACAATTATGACACACTGGAGGGACTATGTCTCTTGGCTGGCCAGGGAATGCGTTGGGATTTCCCCGGAGGAGCTGGCCCAAGTGGAGAAGGAAGTCTGGGCCTCTCTTCTTAGGCTGCTGCCCCTACAACCCAACTCCGGATAAGTGGCTAAAAATGGATGGATGGATATAAACCCAACAGAACAGGCAGGACTTTCCATATCTAGAGCCTCTTATATAAAACTTGCTTGGACACAAAACTGTAACAGAAAACTGCGTAATTGACTTTCCATGCAAACTTGGTGTATTACAAAGAAAAACTTGATAGAGGCACGTGCTCAACTATGAGCAAACTTTGGGCCAGGTGAAGGCTGTTTAATTTGGCCGCAGTATCCATGATCTCCTTCTTTCGGTCACAACCCAAAGTTTGTGACCATAGTTGAAGGCAGGGCTGGGCAATCAATCGAAAATTTATCATTATCGAAATTTCTGACTCTTATCGTGAAAATTTTTCCTATGTCAATGAATTTGATAATAAAAAAATGAAAAGATGTGTGTACGTTGGCAATGTTCATGTCCCTTTAGGAAGCTGTACCACGTTGAGTCACGTAAAAATGTGACTCAACATAATACATGTGACAGCCCCATCTAGTGGACAACTTGTGTTTCTGTGCATACCTGTAGTTATCGTCCATTTATCGTCACAAGGTGAAATCCTCAAAATATCGTGATACTGATTTTAGGCCATATCGCCCAGCCCTAGGTGAGGGTAGGAACGTAAATCGACTGGTAAATCAACACATTCTCACACCCAGAGCATCAAAATATGACACATGTGACCAAGCCTCAATATATGACGATTCAGGATGCCCCAGCGCATCAGTAGTAGGGCTGTCACGGTTGAGGAATTCCTCCTGCGGTGATTCAGGGTGGCTTAATATTGCGGTGTGCGATATTATTGCAGTCCTTTTTTTATTGCAGTACTATCTAAACATAATGTTTACACATTTAAAAAAGGTTAAAAATTGCAATGCCTTCTTTTATAACACTTTACTGAATGCAGATCAAAGGGCAGTAACAACACAGATCGCAGTAACGTTTGTTTCTCCGACAGTCGGAGTCCGACTGAACTTAAAAACAACAAAATTCAGGAGGAGGTTAAACTTTTAAATGCAAATTTGGCTGCAGCATCTAACAAATAAGAAACAAGTCCCCATTTTGTTTAGTTGTTTAAAATCAAGCATAAAAAAATTACATGTACCGGGCGCCCGCGCGCTGGGGGGGAGGGGGTGGGTGGGCACACTATCATTTCACTTTCACACACACGAATGACGGTGATTTATAGCTCGGTCACGTCCTTGTTACCCACAAGGAAAACCAGCATGTTAACCATATACGGTTTGAGAGAGGACCTGAGAGGGGTGGCAACATTTGCAGCAACACTGAAAACCCTCTCGGATGGTGCGCTCGTTGCACTAACGCACACGTACTTGCGTGCGACTCTGGCGAGCAAAGGGAATCTCTCCCGGTTGTTGCTCCACCATGTCAGGGGGGTTTCTTTAGGGTGGATGCATTCCTCCTGCAGGTAGCGAGTGAGCTCCAGCTCGGCGCAAACTCTCTTCGGGACGGTTGCAGAAGCAGTGCTTGTCCGGGACTTCAGCAGGTCTCCGAGCGTTTATTATTATTTTTTGCCGCTGGTGGCAGCTCTGTCTCGGTCAAGGACCCTGGCTGTGCAGCAGATGACGTACTGAAAACCAAAGTGCTCCCAAAGGAGCGAAGTTGATACCAGTGCAGCCATCCTTCTCAACATGCATCATTGAGTTGAACCAAGTTCAGTAATCGCGGTGGCCCATGATGCAGCGCGGTGGGTTTCTTCTAGGGCTGCAGCTATCGAATATTTTTGTAATCGAGTACTCTATCGAATCTTTTTTTCGATTAATCGAGTACTCTAATAAATTACCCTTTTGTGTTTGTAAACCATTATATCATATATTGATGAGCCAAGATGGCGCCGAGTATGGCTGCCTCGTCGCGAGCTCCACCAAGTTCCAACATTACACGCTCCATACTGTACATTAATGCCACTGTTTTGCACATACCAACCTCTGTACATTTTATATCTCTTATCTTATTGTTTACTTTATTCATTTGTATACTTAGATTAGCCATTTTTATACTTTACTTGTTTTTACATTACTGTATTTTTGCACAACTCTGTTGCTGTGAAGCTCGCACACAAGAATTTCACTCGCATGTACTGTACCAGTGTACCTGCACATGTGACGTGACAATTAAAGTGATTTGATATCAAATAGCATGTTATAATTATGAAAGACCTCTTAAAATGAGCAAGCAATTGCCAGTTATTCAAGTTTTATTCAAAATTAGTTTGCATAACTTCAGCACTTCAACTTTACTTCACAGTAAACAAATGCCTGTGCAAAAAATAAGTAAACCTGAGCCGATTCTCTCCTCGTGTGAGAATCTGCTAGCCTGCAAGCCAGACAAAAACTAGGAGGATAACGCTGCGAGCGGCTGCGGTCCAAACAGAACCAGAACCGCTCACGGCGCAAACAGCTCGCTGGCTGTTTCCCTATTAACACACGTCCGTTTTAATTTCACTTTTTTTCTCACACTAACAAGGATTGCCAAAAGCATGTTTGCTGTGGTTTTGTCAAATTATACTGATCACAAAACATGTATTTACTTTCTTTCGTTTTCCTCCGCCACTCATAAATACCCGTGTCCTCCTGCAGAAACCCCGAGGGACAACAGACATCAATAACACAATAAAAAGTCCGACGTGTTGTGTAAAAACTGCTATTTTTAGCACATTTTAAGTCCGACGTGTTGCTACCAGACGTACGGTGTGAGCTGAAACTGAGCGCTACAAACGAAAAAGTCGCACAGCGTCTGCAGAATATATAGAAATACAGGCTAAAATGCATTATCTTGTAGAGGCTCCGAGTCCGCTTGCAGAAGTGACATTTACAGGTGCTGCAGCATGGAGGATGTAGTGTTGTGCTAGGCTAAATCCATTTTACAGTATTTACACTGGACTACGTTTTCCACCTAACGACGTGAAAAATGGTTCCACAACTTTGACATTTTCTGTCTTTTTCGCACTCCACCGGGGTTCAAGTTGTCCGCCATGGCTTAAGAGAAAGTTAAGTTATATTCGCTACTCGCGTGTGCATTCAGTCCAGTGGGCATGTGCGTCACTTATTTCGGTCCGGGTGAAACATGACCCCGGGCGATTGCAAAGCCATGAATTAATTAAATATGAATTAAACGAATCCTCGAGGCAGAGAATTTGACTCGAGGATTTTTTGTACTCGAATTATTCGAGGTACTCGAGGAATCGTTTCAGCCCTAGTTTCTTCATATTGCGATATTTCATTTTTGCGGTTACCGCGACAGCCCTAGTCAGTAGAGGATGATCAGGGACACGTGGCGCCGCTGGTGTCCATATTTGACGCCTGCGGTCACACGGACATTATTCCACGATTTAACCTTCCCCTCACCCCAATCCTAACCTTAACTCAGTAACTCAGCTGAGTTAAGGTTAGAATGGGGGTGAGGGGAAGGTTAAGTAGTTCACAAGTCGGTCTAATGTCCGTCTCACTGCGGGCGTCGGACACAGACGCTCTGGGACAGTACGTCCTCAATGCGTCCTCTCCTGACGCGCAGGGGCATCCCGAACTGTCATATATTGAGGCTTGATCACACGCGTCATATTTTGAAGCTTTGGGTGTGCTCAGCTCTTTCATCACAACTGACCGGGACAACTCCTGCATCACTGCAGACGCAGCACCAATGTGCCTATCGATCTCCCGATCCATCTTTCCCTCATTCACGAACAAGACCCCGAGATACTTAAACTCCTCCACTTGGGGCAGGACCTCGTTGCTGAGAAGTCTAATTAAATGATTTCATTAAATGTTCCCCTTAGAACTGGAATATCTCAGTGATCCCTGAGCACCACAGTGCTGCTTTTTATTTGATGGCGTCAGTGAATATTGCATTCTTAGCCTACATCTGACCATTTCTTTTTAAGACGTTTTTCTTATTTTTAAAGTCCACTGAGATCGCATCACAGCTCCACCAAAAGCAAGCAGTGTTTTATAGGTCTGACCTGCGTATCATGTATACTAAATTAATACTAATACTAAATAAATAGCACATTCAATATATACAAACAGTGGGTGTGATGAAGAACAGAATTTATTACCTTCAAGTGTGTAGATGTCCCGACCCCAGGGGTATCTGGGATACTTCTTCACATCTTCTTCTGTTCTGGTGGCCTCGGGGAAAAACTCGTACTTGATCAGCTCTCTGACAGAAACAGAAACCCAGAAAGCGAGCAGCGTTGAGTAGTTTGACCCGTTGGACCTCCAAAAACCATCAAGAGACATCAGTCTGTTGTTCTTTTGCTTAAAGATCTCCACAGCCTGAGAATCCTTTGTGTGAGAACTTAACTCCATGTTCATGCCTGGTGGGAACACACTTCCACTTATGTGTTTACATTAACCCGATATTAAGGCAGGTTACACTGCTGGGGCAATAGAAGCTACTCACTGGCTGATGTTGGCTATGGTGTCCATCCAGCTGCGAATGCGAACTTTGTTGCGTATATTTGGTGGATTGCTGAACTCGTGAACTATTGCAATATGATATGGATAAGGCCCCTGGAAGAGCTGCCGCTCCAACGCCACAGAGTCGATCTAAGGAGGAAAGAGAAGCACAACACTGACCTTCAGGAACTGGATCTAAGTCTTACACTGGATTGGACCCAGCTGCTTCAGCAAACCACTCGCCCAACTCATTAGGGTTACGAACATGGGTGGACCATGCCAGTGGTTCCTAACGCCTCAGTACCACCAAAAAACATATGACTGTCCCAATCTCCTCCCAGAGAGAGAGAGAAAGACAGACGCTCATGAAGGACTTTGGCTCTTTTTGGCTCCAGGAGTCTCTGTTGTTGGGTGAATGACTAACAACTAGGGCTGGGACTTGATTAAAAATTTTAATCTAATTAATTACAGGCTTTGTAATTAATTAATCTCAATTAATCGCATTTTAATCGTTCAGGAAAATGTGCTCTCAAATAAAACTTTTAATTAAAATTATGAGACAGAGAATCAAACATTAGACATGGTTCCTACTGTAAACTAAAGCTTTTAATAAAAAAAATGCATTTTAATTATTCAAATGTCACTGTGTGATATGAAACAAAACCCCAAATCAACTAAAATTTATAATTACATATAGAAAACACGTGCAAAGGGTTCCTGAGCCTTTAAAAAGTCTCTCTGTCTAGTTGAATTACTGAAATAAATTTGACTTTGCACCAGATTCTAAATTTTCCAGTTTCACTTGTTTGTATAATTGGGAGTTTTTATTAGCATTTCTACTCATAATGTAGTAAAAACACATAAATAATAATCCTTCAAAATGACAGTAGAACAGGCACAAATATGATCTAGGACTTAAATGTACTAACTTTTAACACCAGAGCAGGCATGGCATATTCTGAGAATGATCTTTTGTAAAGTTCCCATTGCCACCGGGCAGCTGCAGCAGAGGCGATCTCTGAAAAATGTCCGTGACACGGACTCCGTTGTTGTCTGGAAGTTTTTTTTTTTCCAAGTTAAGAAAAGAGGCGGACGGGTTTCCTAAATCCTGCATCAGTCCAAGCAAGGCAACTTCTTTCTGTTTTTATTCCGTTTAGTAGCCTTTAGCACTGTGCATTGTTATGTGCGTCAGTGATATTCAGTCTACGAGGAAGTCGTGCAATGACAAAGGTTCCGCCATGCTTGAAATGCAAGCTGCGATTAAATGCGTTAATTTTTTTAACGCGTTATTTTTTTCTAATTAATTAATCGTAATTAACGCGTTAAAGTCCCGGCCCTACTAACAACATAATACATGTCCTTTGACAAATGTTGAGGTGGATCTGCGTCTGCATGACCAAGCCTTGTCCCTGGAGGCCTATTCACTGGGTGATTTCCTGACTGGGATTTGTCCCACAGGTCCTGCTGTATCTTCATAGAGCTGATGTTACAGCAGTGATGACTCCAAACAGTTTTCTTAAGAAAAGGAGTCGTGCTGTGACCCTCTGGGGTTAAACTTAAATAAAAACCAGAGAGGACCCCGGTAGTCTCCTACCTGGTGCATCGGGCGCATATAGATGATGCGATTTCTCTCTGGAGGCATTCTAAGGATCTGATCCAGAACCTGTTCCATGTCCAGCTTCTTACACTGAGCAAAATCAAATCTGTTGACAATGGGCGCCCGCTCGATCTGCAGCTGCTTCAACACTCGACACCTGGTGGCTGTAAAGAGGGACGGCAAAAGAACAGAGATTAGTTTTACATAAATGTTGTAATTAATATGAAATGTTTTCTTTGACCACGTTTCATACCTAATTTGTAATACGACCAATGAAAAATCTAAATGTATGTCACGTAGGAGTGCGTGAGCAATACCTCTGATAACAGATGGCTGCTGCTATGTTCTTTTAGCCTAGAAATCTAGAAAGATCGTAGGAGCAGCAAGAAGATTTTGCTCTATATGTTGGTCAAGCCACACTCCAGAGGAGCCTCAGCAGGAATACTGTTGGCCTGAACGTTTGCGTTTTGCCAATCACAGTACTCTATATGTTTGGTAGGTGGGATGATGCAACACAGTGGAAAAACAAAGATGGCGACAGCTCATTCGAAACAACTTGCAATCAACGTTGGACTATTTAGACTTGGGCTCATTCTTTTTTGGAGCCCAGAGCAGACAGAGGTTAGGGTTAGGTCCTGTATTCATGTCTTCTTCGATAGGGTGTGGTGGACTGCCCCGTTGACTGACATCTGTAGCAGAGAGCTGATTATTGAGACTTTGAAAGACAACCATAGATACCGCCCCATGACTGAGCTACATGGGTCATGGCTAGGGCTGCATGATGTTAGGAAAACCTGCGATGCGCGACAACAGCAATGAATATTGTGATGGTGATATGACTTGCAATAAGCAAACATTTAACTCAAGAACAAAAAAATCTAAAACAAAGACAAAAATTACAAAAAAATGATCCTAAAACATGGGAAAAGCAAAAATTGTTACCAAAAGATGTAAAGAAAGGGAAAAAGAAGATGAAGATGAAAAGGTAATCAGGTAACAAAGCTAATTCAGGTGTTTGCTAGCCACCTAAATTAAGTGCCGTCTGCCTAGGGGGTGGGAATTCAACCTATAAGAACTCTCCCGATTGGCCAAATGAGCAAAGAGCTCTCTTTGATTTGTCAAAAACTTCATGCTTCCGTTTGATTGACTAAATGCTTACAGCAAACCTTAGAGCTGACCAAGCATTGCTTTTTTCTGTTCTTCGCGATTTGCGTATCAGGCATGCTGACAACAGGATGACGACACATTTGCCATGTATTGTGCAGCCCTAGTCGTGGGTGGCCAGACTATACATTCCCATCTATAGGATGGCTTGCCAGGCTAATGTTCTTTAGTAAGATATCAGAGTCCCTCTGTTGGTTACCATGGATGAACATCATCTTGGGACAGTCTTTCAGGACAAGGTCAGTGATTCCACAGTTTGTTAACGTGATGCCAACCAGGTTCTTACTCTTCAAAGTCAAAACCTGTAGAAGATAAGAACATCTTTGTAAAGCAGTCAATTCCTGTGTCTATCAAATAGACCTGTAGACACCACTGTACATCACCAGGATATCACCTGGATGTCACCAGCTGAGCTTTGATGGGTTGTTTACTTTAGGCCACATCTGCAGTGGACTCTAGAGCTTTCTGTCCATTCTGATCCAAACCACAGTCGGTGTGTTTACATGCGCATCAGAACAGCGAACTATTGCTCTAAATAGACTGACTTTTTATTTACATGCATGTAAACGAGTTAGTCTGGCTTCCTGCAGTCAGTTTCTGTGTCTGCTCTTTTCCTGAGTCTGCTATTTGTGTATGCAAGTGCACGCACGCATGTTAACAACTCTTTTTTCAATCCATCCATTCATTTTCATCCGCTTATCCGGAGTCGGGTCGCGGGGGCAGTAGCCTAAGTCGAGAGGCCCAGAATTCCCTCTCCCCAGGCACCTGAGCCAGCTCTTCCGATGGAATCCCAAGGCGTTCCCTGGCCAGGTGAGAGACATAGTCCCTCCAATGTGTCCTGGGTCTACCTTTAGGTCTCCTCCCGGTTGGACGTGCCCGGAAAACCTCACCAGGGAGGCATCCTGACCAGATGCCTGAGCCACCTCAACTGACTCCTCTCTATGTGGAGGAGCAGCGAATCTACTCCGAGCTCTTCCTGGGTGACTGAGCTTCTCACCCTGTCTCTAAGGGAGAGCCCAGCCACTCTGCGGAGAAAACTCATTTCAGCCACTTGTATCTGAGATCTCATTCTTTCGGTCACTACCCAAGGCTCATGACCATAGGTGAGGGTAGGAACGTAGATCAACCGGTAAATCGGTTGGGGCTGCATGGTGGCGCAGTTCTTAGCACTGTTGCCTCGCAGCATGAAGGTTGCAGGTTCGAAACTCGGCTTGCGGCCTTTCTGTGTGGAGTTGCGTGTTCTCCCCATGCATGCGTGGGTTTCCTCCGGGTACTCCGGTTTCCCCCACAGATCACAACATGCCCTATAGGTTATAAATTGTAAGTCGCTTTGGATAAAATCAAGAGCTTCACCTTCTGGCTCAGCTCTCTCTTCACCACGACAGACCGGTGCAACGCCCGCATCACTGCAGATGCAGCACCAATCCGCCTATCGATCTCACGCTCCGGTCTTCCCTCACTCATGAACAAGACCCCGAGATACTTGAACTCCTCTACTTGGGGCAGGACCTCATCCCTGACCCGGAGAAGGCATTCTACTCTTTTCCAGGTATTTTTCTAACAGGAAGTCTGGTTGAAATAAGTCTCCACCCTTAGTGTAACTCACACTTTTGTTTGGTTTTCTAACGAACATGTAAACTAGGATAAAGACTCTGAGTTTATCATTTTAGATCGACTTAGATGCACATGTAAGCATACTGAATGAGTCAAGCACAATTCACGATGCTCTCCTTCCTTTAACACGGTAAACACTTGGAGCCTGAACTCACGCGGAGCCAGTTTTGAACCCCACTGATGTCTCACTGGCTGAGTGGGAGGACAATCAGCAGTCATGTGTGTGTACCTGAACGTGGTCGTCCTCGGTGACAGGGTCCGAGGTGCTGGTTGATTTGTCAGCCATTTGTTTCCTTTTTACTGCCACTCGAGCCCTGGGTCTGCAGAGCTCTACGGGGAATGCATAGAAAGCAACTGAGTGAGAATCAGGTAGGTCTTGGTGGCCTGATGCAGGATTCTCTGGTGAGAAACACAAACTGCAAACAAAGACACTAAAAATCTTTCATTCAGCTGGAGACTGATGTTATGCTTCACTAATATAAAGCTGCAGTTGCAGAAATGTCCAGCGGTTCAGACGTTTATGGACTGTAGCTCCACTTTTACCTGTCTCGGGTACCAAAGGTGCAGAAGACAAGCGAGTGCACGATCTAGTCAAAGGCCTTCTGGGAACAAAATCCTGACCGGCATTTTGGTGTGACCCGGTACCAGAGGAAGCCCCAGCAGTGTCTCTGTGTCTCTGTCCCAGAGTGCTAGGAGCAGGACATCTGGACTCTGGTCTGTCCACACCAGCAGAACCAGAAGCCTTCCTCACCCCAGCCCCCCGTGTTAAACTACACCCAGTCTGTTCTTTACACAGGTTCTTGTCACTCCTCATGAATCCAGAAGCTCGGTGGTTGTTCGTTCTGTGGGTGTTTCCACCTCCTACTCCACATCTCTGCATTGGGCTGGAGTGGACTGCAGCAGATCCAGCCACTGGTCTGTCTCTGGAGTTTGCTCCTTGCTCAGCATTCCCAGTGCTCTGTTCTGTCCCACCATCAGTCCTTGGTCTTGGATTGGCCTCCGCAGTATCACAAGTCATTTCTTTATTGCTAGTCCTTCCAGAGCTCTCAGTAGCAGCCTTGATGTCTGCCTTAATTTGTTCGCTGGTCACCTGGCAGCTCTTCTCACAGCTGCTCTGTAACAGCCGAGGCTTAGACTGATCAGAGGCAGCAGCGGTGCTGCTGCGCCGAAGTGGAGTTTTTCCTTTACCTGTGGAGGAAAACAGAGGCTGAATAGGCATTGTACAGGAGGAAACCTGCAGCCCTGTAAGGGCATGCCTTGGGCCTGATGAATAAAGCTTGAATAAGTGTCTTTTTTTCCTCGTGTCCTGTCTGGCTGTGAAGCTAACAGAGTTGATGTCTGAATAAGTGTCTTCAACACAAACGTTGTGATTTAAATAAAAGATTGACGGGACATTTTTGGCAACTTTAAGCAAACCCTGAACCTGGTTTAAGCAGATTTTTGAGACAGAGAAACTGGCAGAGCTGCTTGTGAGATGGTGACAGGGTGAATTTAAGCTACACGTTCAGATCTGCCCTTAAAGTGTTCATCGCTACAAAAACGCTGTGCCACTTTAAAGTTCTTCTGTTTGTGATGCCACAAGTGTGACCCCCAAATAAAACACTGTTGCCATGCCTTTACTTCAGAAACAAGCACCTCAAGTGAAATTGCATGTTCTAGACCTCTTGGTTGTCATGGATACCAGTGAAATGCCATAGATCAGCTAACTTATGTACAGTACGTCGCTAAAGTATTCCAACCCTTTGAACTAGTACAGTTTGACACCTCATAACCACAAACTTAAATGTTTTATTGAGTCATTCAGATTCTCTGTGATAAACCAACACAAAGTAGCAAATTATTATGAAATGAAATTAAACTGATCCATCCATTTTCCTCCGCTTATCCGGGGTCGGGTCGCGGGGTCAGCAGCCTAAGCAGGGAGGACCAGACTTCCCTCTCTTCAGCCACGTGGGCCAGCTCCTACGGGGGAATATCAAGATGTTCCCTGGCCAACTGAGGGACATAGTCCCTCCAGCATGTCCCGGGTCTTCCTTTGGGTCTCCTACCAGTCGGACGTGCCTGGAAAACTTCACCAGGGAGGTGTCCAGAAGGCATCCTAACCAGATACCCGAGCCACCTCAACTGGCTCCTCTCGATGTGGAGGAGCAGCGGGTCTACTCTGAGCCCCTCCCGGACGACCGAGGAGCTCACCCTATCTCTAAGGAAGAGCCCAGACACCCTATGGAGAAAAGGCATTTTGGTCGCTTGAATTCTCATTTGGTCACTACCTAAAGTTGATACAGTTTTCAAAAGATAGCAAATAAAATTCAGAAAAGTGAGGCGTATATTTGTATTCGGCCCTCTGCACTCTTAAACTCCTAAATAAAATCCAGTACAGTCAATTGCCTTCAGAAGTCACCTAATTAGATAAAAGAGTCCAACTGCAAACCTACCAAGACACGGTCATCCATCTAACCCGACAGACCGAGCTAGGAGAGCTCTGCTCAGAGAAGCTTCCAGAAGGACCATGGTCATTCTGGAGGAGCTGCAGAAATCCACACTTCAGGTGGGACAATCTGTCCAAAGGAGACTGTAAGTTGTGCCCTCCACCAATCTGGCCTACATGGAAGAGTGGCAAGAAGAAAGTCGTTGTTGACAGAAAGACATAAAAGTCCTGTTTGCCAGGAGCCACGTAGGGGACAGCAGACATGTGGTAGGAGGTGTTTTGGTCAGACCAGACCAAAAGGCAAAGGAAAGGCACTGCTGATCACCCTGAACACACCATCCCCACTGTGAAACATGGTGGAGGCAGCATCATGCTGTGTGGGAGCTTTTCTTCATCAGAGACAAGCAAGCTGGTCAGAGTTGATGGGAAGATGAATGGAGCTGAATACAGAACAATCCTGGAGGAAAACCTGTTGGGAGGCTGCAAGGGAGTAGAGACTGGGAAGGAGAGTCACCTTCCAGCAGAATAATGACCATAAACATATAGCAAGAGCTACAGAGGAACGGTTTAGACCAAATAATATTCATGAGTTAGAATGGCCCAGAGTCCAGACCTAAATCCCACTGAGCCTCTGTGTTTGAAAAGAATGATTTCAAAATTTCAGTCTAGTACAAAGTTGAAGGGGGCAAATCAGTTTCATTCTACTTTGTGTTGGTCTATCACAGAAAGAGATTCTTCTTCCGGCTCTTGGAGGGTGCAGATACTTTTTTCCTCCTCTCCTCCATATCTTATCCACAAGGCCCTTTGTCTGTCTCTGTCTGCTGGGTGCACGGTTGCTTCTGCATTATTTCTGGAAAGTGAAATTCACTTAAATGGATCTCGTCAGTTGGTCTCTTAACGCGATTGATAAAAAATTTTAACGATGAGAACGGGAGAAGGGGCTCCCAGATGCCCCTCCGCGACAGACCCAGTTGGACACATCATGGACTCCTGGAAACAGTGGAACTTGATTTGTTTATCTCAGCTGTCTGTGGAGGACTCTGAAGACGTGTGGATATTTGTGGTGTTGGTGTCGGGTTTCCTGCTCATTGGCCTTGGAGGCTGCCTGGCTTACCGGAAAATTAACGAGCTGTCGGGGAATATTGGTCTGATCCCGGAGCTCAGGGATGGTTTGCACCGCGCTGTGAATTCACAGACTCACATAATTGTCGAGATGAATCATAAGCTTGGAACTTTGGCCGAGATTCATTATTGGCACAAAAGATGGATGCCATCAAGGAGAGAGTGGACGAATCAGCACGGATTGGGATAGATTAATGTCCATTATTGGGATTTTGAGAGGTTGAGGACCAAGGAACTGTAAGACAGAGAGGAAATTATCTCTGTCTGGCCCCAAAACAATTTCTAATCAGAATCTGGCGCCCTTGAGCCTGCAAGGCTCCAACAAAAACTCCCCCCTCAGAAGATATGTGGAATGTGCCGTCGTTATGGCAGCTCAACTCTGTCTCCTATCCCAGCCTGGGCGGGACTGCGGGAAGGCTGTCGAATCGTTCCAGGATCACTGCAACCCTCCAACCCTCAATGCCCCTCCCCCTATCCACACTGAGGTGACATGCGCTGCTTATCGTGGCAGCAGGAACTGAAGTGGGGATAGTCCCAACCCACCCCACCACCCCACCTAGTGGACACTTATGTTGTGTTGTCTGAAGTCTGTTGCATATCTGAGGTTTTTTTGCAGAGCAAAGCTGCCCTCCTGGTGGAGGGTAGCTCTGAAATGCCTTTTTTCCCCTCCACCTGAACCAATCCTCATGTAATCCTCTTATCTCTATTAAGGTAGTGCGACTCATGGTTGCGAATGACCACAGTCACCAGTTATTGTCTTGTGTCTTGCCCATGTATGTCTGATCTCTGAATTGAGTGTACTGAAACTCTAATTTCCATCTGGGACTAATAAAGTATCTTTGATTGATTTGACTGTGTTGGTCTATCACAGAAACACTCAATAAAAACTTTAAAGTGCCCAAAAGTGTAAAGTTTCAAGGAGTGTAAATATTTTTGCAAGGCACTGTCTACAGATAATATTCATAAGGTACGTTTTGATTCCATACCATTTTATTTGAACAGCGCCTTTTAAGATACAGCATGAGAGCTGAACAAACTGAATAAAAAATGTCTATAAAATAATTCAGGAACTGACAATTCAAAACAATTTAATAAATAAGGTAAAATCAACTGTAAGAATAGTAAGAGCAATAAAACTAGCACACCAACAATCAGAACAGTCCAGACGATAAAGGCAACCAGTCAAAACAATAAAACCAAGCATAAAAGAGGTCACTGTCCAAAGGCCAAATCATAAAGTGAGTCTTCAGTCTAGACTTGAAAACCGAGACCGTTGAAGACTCATATCGTGAGAGGGAGCGCATTCCGAAGATGAGGAGCAGCATACACAAAAGCCTGCTCTCCTCTTGCTTTATCGTTCATTTTGGGAATGCAGAGCAGCAAGCGGTCACCTAATCTTAGGGAACGCACCGGCACAAAGGTTGTAAGCAGCTCTGACAGGTAGGGGGTGCCATTTAATGCCTTGTAAGCGAATAACAGGATCTTGAGGTGCATCCTGAAAGTCACAGGAAGCCAGTATTGACATGCAAGAACCGGGGTAATGTGACTGCGTTTATTCGCGTTGTTAGAAACCTAGCTGCAGCATTTTGCACAGTCTGCAGCTGGTTTAATGCTGACACAGGAGCACCAATGACTTTGCATAATCCAGGTGAGAAGTAATTAAAGCGTGTATCACCGACTCCAAATGAGGACGTTTCAGAACAGGTTTGAGGCGTACGAGACAGCGTAGTTGGAAAAACATGATTTAACAACTGCGTTTATCTGTGGTACCGCTAAAAATCCTGCATCTAATTTTACGCCGAGGCTAGTGACACACTTCTGGAGTTCACTACACGGAAGACTAAGAGTGGATTATGCGCATTAAAGGTTTTTTTTGGCTTAAAAAGTATTGACTACATCTTTGCTGCATTTAGACACAAGAAGTTTGCAGTCAACCACTCTTTCACCTCAGAAAGACACTTTAAAACTAAAGCACCCGCGTCTTGATCTTTCATGGCCAGATAAAGCTGACAATCATCAGCATAAATGTGATAGCTGATGCCGTGACGTTTAAAAATCTGACCCAAAGGTAAAAGATAGATGGAAAATAGGAGGGGTCCCATGTGAGGCATAACCCCTAAGCTGCACACTAAAATACCTACTGTCCAGGTAAGAGTTAAACCAGTCCAGCAGAGTCCGAGAGACCAACCCATGACTTAAGGCAATCCAGAAATGTTTTGTAGTCAGTGTCAAGCGCTGCCGACAGGTCCAACAGCATCAAGAGTACATGTGATCCTGAGTCAGACGCAACCAGGATATCATTTAGTACACAAATCAATGCTGATTGGATGCTATGGTGGGGTCTGAAGGCAGACTGAGATACATCAAACAGCAAATTTATGTCAACATGAATGTGGATGTGTAGGAGGCGGGATGTGAGCAAAAACACCTGAGCATTCTAGTAAGGGTGTGGTTTATGAAGCAGACGTTACGTGCAGAGCTTAGGTGGAGTTTTAGTAAGGATTCTATGCAAAGTTTTACAAATGAGGCTCATGTTCTAATGTGAGGCATGAAGACTAAAAGTGCCTCTTCCATCCTTTAGTAACCCCTCACTAATTTCACACATGGGTTGTAAAATCAGGTGAGTAAATGAACCTAATGATGATATATTGAGATGAATTTTATATGAAGGGTGTCAAAGGTGAGGAGTCTCTCTATGTGAGCATTGTTGATCATAAATGTATTTGGACTGATGAATACACGGTTTCCAATGGTGAGTCCAGAAAAGTCTGAGTATACTGGTGCACAGCGGTGAAGAAGGCCCAGCTTTTGAACCAAGGTGGAGCTAAAGCTGCTAATGCACCTTAGTGTGTCCACGTGCTGCAGCACCTTGAACTCTGCTGGTGGAGGGTCATAAATACAGCTGAGTGAATTACAGAATGGTCTCTGCCTCCCTAGACTCAGTAGAACACGCACCATTTGTCTGACCACTGGTCTCAGGCTAAAGGTCAGACACAGTTGTGAGTTTACCCCAAGAAACATTTTTTGGACTCCGCAACCATATTTATTTATTTACATATATAATTTAGAACTGGTAACCCTCATTAAGAACCCAGAACCCTCGTTTAGAACACGGAACCCTTGTTTAGACCCTGTGTAGCGGCAGGAGGTACTGTTCCTTCAAGCCCAGTAAAGCATACAGTGGTTCCGCCTATTGTTTACTGATGCGGTACAGGTGTTCAGAATAAAGATCAGGTGAGGATGGCCTTGCTTCTTTGTTTGGATGGATCACTGTAAAACTGTGAGGTTCTGTAAACATGTCAACAAATAATAAGTTGCGCTTATTAAATCAGTTTGATTAATGTCAAATTAAACAATTTAAATAAAAATCATTCACTGGTGTGACGCTTAGGTCATCAGAAGTCATGAATTAGCACCCTTGGCGGAGTTTTTCTGCAAATATTCTTCAAGCTGCTCCGTGTCTGCCGCTAGATACCTTTGGTTCTTTTTTACTTTTTTGAGGGGGCAATGATGGGGCTGTTGATGAATTTAAAGATAGCGGCGTCCTAGCCAATCACAAGCTTGCGATCTCCGTCTCGTTCGACAGGTGTTTAGAAAAGTTGGCTCGACTGAGATGAGATCCGACTGGGAGGAGGCCCAAGGGAAGACCCAGGACACGCTGGAGGGACTGTGTCTCTTGTCTGGCCAAGGAACGCCTTGGGATTCCCCCGGAGGAGCTGGCCCAAGTGGCTGGGAGAGGAAAGTCTGGCCCTCTCTACTTGGACTGCTGCCCCTGTGATGGGTTGAAATGTTCTAATTACTGTTTACTGTGTTTACCAGTATGTGTGATTTAATGAATAATAAGAAACGGGTTCATTATTGTTTACAATTGCATTGCTTGTCAGTACTTTTTACGTTATGCATCTTAAACTTCATTGCAATTTAGTCGTTGTAGTAACAAAGTGTGGCCACCAGAGGGAGTCTAGCGGTAGTGAGCCTTAGAAGAGAGCACGACCCTCCTGGCTCATTCAATACATGTTTGAGCAGAGGGAATAACGTGTCCGTGTTTCTTTTATCATTCACTCCCCTTTTCAGGTAAGATTGTTTGCATAAGCACACCTGTACTGTAAGATGTAACCAGACCAATTGAACGTTCGGAAGTGCACTGTGTGGTAGATTCGTTGTTTACTATGTTTTGGAGCTGTTGAATAAGGTTTAGCCACCGTTAGCCGCTAGTTCATAGCCGACGATGCTAACTAGCTAAGAAGATGACGGTTGGTACTTTTCACTTGTTTCTTTGTGATGACTCTGTATGTATTTGAGTTGAATTAAGTGATTCAATACACGTTTGAGCAGAGGGAATAACGTGTCCGTGTTTCTTTTATCATTCACTCCCCTTTTCAGGGGATTTACACCCCCCCACGACCCGGATAGGCGGAAGAGGATGGATGGATGGGCTCAACTCCGTCTGTCCTTGTGTGCCTGTTGGGTGTCGCGTGTCTCCGTACCAGTGCAGTCGGAGATGTATAGATTAGGCTTAAATCTGTTGATGCATGTTTGTGTGTGATGAAGACAGACTTGATCAGTTTGTTTTTAACTGTGACTCTAGGAGCCATGTCCAAGGAAAAAAAACACTCCCACATCCCTGCCTACTCCAACATGCTTCTGAAATCTGAGATGGACCTAGGTTGTGTTCACACCTTTGGGACATGAATCTGGATGTAGAAACGAGGAAGGAGGCATCAGCCTTGAAACAAGACCCTCCTCTTCCTCACTGTCAGAGTCTGAGATGACAGGAGGTGGCTTGTGAGCAGCACCGTAGGTGGGTCTGCACTGCTGGTTTAAACCACTGGGACCTATAGTTGGAACGGAGGAAACGGGTTAGAAAACAGACCAGTTTCTGATGCAAGGAGTTTAAATACTAAGAATTGAAGTGTTTTACTTTTCATCTGATGGAGAATGAAGTTCCAAACCTGCTTGTTCCTCATCAGGGGGGGCTGAGGGTCCAACTTGACCACTGGGATCATCCATACCCAGTCCTCCTTCTTTATCCTCCACGTTGATCTGAGCTTCAGCCTTTTCTTCTTCATAAACAGCCTCATCTTCTTCATCCATATCATCTTCCTCCATTCCATTTATTTCCATTGCTTATGCAAAAAGCAAACAAAGAAAGAAAAAGTTACTTGGCAGAACCACGACATTTCATGCATGTGTGGTCTGTGCTTAGAGTCCACACCTTCACCCAGACCTGTGTAGAGCTCACCGTGCGGCTGCTGCGGCCTCTGGTTGTTGTTGTTGTGGGGTGGAGGTGGAGGTGGAGGAGGCACGTTGGCCTCGTTATTAGGGGGGTGGTGCTGGTTGTTGTCATTGTTAGAGTTCTGGTTGCTGACCAGAGCAGAAGACACTCCGATTCCCGTGCCGGCACTCAGGCCCACTCTGGCACAGCCCTAACACACAAACACCGGGAGCACCGCCCAGGAGGAAAACATCACAAAAGAGTAAACAGCAGGCGTGTTTCCACTGTCGGAACTTCTGAGTCATTTCTGGAAGGGGGAAACTGACCAGGAGATATGATGGCCCGGTCCTCTCAGCATATCGTGACTGCTTCGGAAGTGAGCGAGGTCACTGATCAGCAACAAAAAGTCCTTTTCTGGCCTATTTAATCTATTAGGAGGACTGGGACAGCTGCTGTGATGTAAAACGTGGCACTCAATGACCAGAAGAAGTGCCCTTTTTTTTTTTACAGAGCCCTGTGAATTACGTGGTTGTGGGGGTGTTACTTCATTTTTCAGTTTGGGAGTTTAGTTACATCTATTTTAAAGCGGCGTGAACAGTGCTTATTTGCTCTTTCTTCCATTTAGTTCACAAGCAACTCTTCTAAATGTACTAATGCCGGCTCTATTGGACGTCTGCTGATGTCATGTCCTACTGAGTTACAACCAATCAGTGTGAGTTAACCAAAAGTTCCATTCAGCTACTCTACCGGGCCTTTCAGAGTACCTGCCCCTGTTCAGGTCATCCGAATGTTCCTGAAAAAGACCCGGAAAACGGCCCGTTGAAGTGGGTGCACATGCAAGTTCTGGCAGAATGACCCTGAAGTTCCGATAATGGAAAAACGCCCATAGATACGGATCATCCTGGTCATTAACAGTGCTTCTGCAGAGTAAACCCCCGACGGTCCTGTCTGACCCTCACTCGAAGGCCACCACCTACTCCTCCCACACGCTTCAGGTAGTGGACCGGACCCGACGCAGGTCAGGCCAAAGAGAACCTCAACTAGTTTACCCCGCAGAAGAGCCTGTTACTCACGCCAGCTCTATGTCCCGCTGGGACGGGGTACCTTTAGACCTTTTTGATGATGCTTGGTTTATGGTACCAGTAACTGAACGGTACTTTTTCAGTACATATATATTTTAAAGTCTAATTTAAGGAAGAAAAAAGTATTTATATGTTTATTACCTCGGCACAAACACAGCACGGTTTTAGTGCAAACTATAATTTCATAAACATATTTCTTTTTAGAGCCAGAATAAGAGACAGAATTACAATAAAAAGGTACTTTCAGTGCAAAACAAAAGTAACCGTATGAAGATGAGGAGCAAACCAGTGGAAGACGGGTCCTGCTTCGGCTCGGAGAAGAACAACCAACGAGGTGCTTTATTTAAAAGTGTTTATCTTTAGAAAACGCAGCCAAACATTTGATTTTTATTCAGCATTTTCTAAGTTGGACTTGAACTCAGAGAAGTGTTGTTATAAATGTGAACCGGGTGTGACCGAGACCCCGGTCACAGGATGTGCAGCAGCGGCAGGAACAGAGCAGCGCAGCTCATAAACAGGAATGTTTTGTTGGAAAGCACCAAAATTTAGCAGCAAAAAAGTTCTGGCACCCAGCTTTACGGGTCATGAAGACCCAAACATACCTTGGGCGGTTCTCTGAACATCTGGTCCAGGCAGATAAACTCCAGACAGGGGAGGGACTCTATGAACTGGGAAAAGGACGGCAGTTTGATAGCATGACAGCGAACTAGAGTGAGATCGACAAGGCGGTTCCATCTGGACTGATCTGGGAATAGAAACATCAGAAGATGCAGTTACAGAGCTCCTCCTCTGCTGTGAGGATTCCAACGTAAGCTGTGAGTTTTACCAGACATCCAGTGGTGAGGGTTATGAAGGTGAGGGCAGTTGTAGATGAGCAAATACTTGATATTAGGCAACACTTCATTCACCACCTTTACGCCGATATCAGTGATGATACCAGGGTTCTCGACGACATCAGCCAGCCCGTACTTCACCAGCTCAGAGTGACTCATCTTACCTGCACCACAAACACAACAAATCCAGCATCAAAATACACAACCGGGTCACCAGACGGAAAGACAGGGGAGTCCAGCAGAAAGAAGAAGGAGCTAACATTGTAAGAGGAACTCGTCCACATATCCCAGGTGAAGTGTCTCAAATTGAGGAAACTCAAGCTCGGCCATTTTGAGGGCTGAGAAGACACCGTCTTTTGTTAGTGAAGGCTGGATGCGCAGCTCATGAAGCCTGGTGAAGACAAACATGACCAAGTTAAAAACCTGCTCAGTAGAAATGTAGAAACTGCATTCATGAAGCCATACAGCGCTGTGCATTCTGGGACACTAATCAGGAGGCATCTCCATGCCAGGGCTCCAGGGTTCAGACTGCTGGTGAAATCAGGCCAGAGTGTTGGAACATCAAGGCCTTCCTGATAAATCCCTGCTTGACAAATCACACCTGTTCACTCAAGAACATGTACATTCCACCAACAATGCTCAGGTGGATCCATTCCTCTCTAATTCAAGCAAGAAGCAGCAAGCGAGCCTCACACGCATCCACAGGCAGACCCTGTTCAGTGATGCTAGATGAATGAGAATGGAAGGGAAGACCAGGGCCTCGTTCTTCTCCCACACAGAGGAATAATTATTCATTCATGCCTACGAGGACTACAAAGATGTCAGGACTAAAATAGAGACCACACGCTGCTTGATTAAAGCTGGTGTTATCATGCATAGTTTACATGTTTCCATGGCAACGCCAGACGTCCGCTTCAGCTCATTTCTCCACATGTTTCATTCAACTTTTCATCATTTACGTGTCGTTTACATGTTCTGCTCCAGAGTCTGGATGCTTTTAGACTGGAGGACTTTGTTTTTGCCGAGCAGTTGTGAGTTTTAGGAACTTACGTTCGTGGCGGTCACGTGACCCTAAAGTTATCGCTGTAAACCGTTTAGCTGAACTATATTTTAGTTTAAACTCCACATTTATTAATAATTTAGCCATCAAGAACAAAGCTGCAGCTGCTGCTGAGGGCCAGAGCTGGCACTAATTCACCACCTTGTAGCCGCCAGCTGCTAACAAGAAAAACAAGACGCAACATGCCTCGTCCAATCACATTCCTCAAGCTTCAGCAAGTCTAGCTGCTAGCCTGCCACGGAGCAGGTTTGTGCCATGGTTACCATGGTGACTGGGAGGGGCTTCAGGCTAGCCATGTTAGCGGAACCAAACTTGGGCAGGTTAAACACGGATTTTCAAAAGAGAGCCTGGCTTTTGAGATTAGCTCACTATAGGAAATCCCCCACTACCACCACCCCACCCCACCCCGATCTTTGCATTTTGTTTTTGTGTCTCCTTGTGTTTACAACCAAATTATTTCATTAAATGAGGTCCTCACTTCTCAACTAATACCGAATATCTCAGGTAGAAAAGATAAACATCTAACAGCTGAAGCTGCACGGTCCAGCATCAACATATATCACTATTATAGAACCACACACACACACACACACACACACGCAAATGTAGAAGGCATGTTGGTGGCTGGATGAAAGTACCTGCGAGCAGCGGTGATGATAAGGTAGCCCAAGTCCACCTCCAAAGCATTTTTACAAGCTCCAAACACAATGGTGTGGAGGTTCCTGAATCCTCCTAGGCATGTAAACAAACAAACACACACACACACACTTCTTTAAAACTACATTAGAGTTTATAAAACATCACATCTGAGTCGCGATCGTACGCATGTCTGTAGATGTCCTCACCTGACCTCCAGCTGTCCTCCACCACATGCTGGATCAGCCCTCCCAGGAAGGGAACTCTCACCAGCTCCAGCTGTTCCAGATTGCGGGCCGATGCTAAACCCGTAACCAGCGGGACATACTTCAGCGAGTTGGTCGGCCCTGCACAGTTCCTCATGACAAACGTCCTCAGGTTCACACACAGAAAGTCCTTAAACGGCTGCGGTTTGGTAAGACGAACCCACTTCAGATACAGGTGGCGAAGCATGTACACACAAGGGATCTCTGGGACATTCACACCTACAACACAATTATAACAAATGCTGCAGCATTTATTTATCGACTGTTGTCACTTCAGCGGTGATACGTGGGTGGAACAACAGCTCCTACATTTTAGGCCAAGCAGTTCACTCACCTATGAGGTGGAGGGTCTGGATTTTTGCAGTTGTGGGGATGGTGAGTTTGTTCTCAGCAGGAATGGGAAAGGCGCCGTTACGGTTGCGGAACTTCCCTAGAATGTGAACCTGGGGCATGTAGTTCCAAATGGCCTCCACCAGCTCCAGGTGGGATGTCTCAACTCCCTGAAATTACATCAACTACAGGAGTTAGATATGTCCCTAAAACCGCTACCAGCAGGCAAGGAGAGTCAAGTATCTTGCTCAAAGACACAACTGACACAAACAAAGCCTGTGTTTGAACATGATGGCAGCCTCACTGATCACAGAGCAAACTCCTAAATTGAAAGCCATCCAGCCATCCATTATCTTCCCCTTACCCCGGTCGCCGGGGCAGAAACCTAAGCAGAGGCCAAGACTTCTCTCTCCCCAGCCACTTGGGCCAGCTCCTCCAGTGGAATCTCAAGATGGCCAGTCGAGAAACATAGTCCCTCCAGCGTGTCCTGGGTCTGCCTTTGGGTCTCCTCCCAGTTGGACGTGCCCCGAAAGCCTCACCTTGGAGGCGTCCAGGAGGCACCCTAGCCAGATGCCCGAACAACCTCAACTGGATTTTCTTGATGTGGAAGAGCAGCGGGTCTACTCCAAGCTCCTCCCTGATGACCGAGATTCTCACCCTATCTCTGTGCGACTTTTTCACTCGCAGTGTTCAGCTCAAACTGTACGACTTCCTCGCAGAGCAGATCTCACGAGTCATGCGCTCACACTGCACGTCCCAGTTCTCGCATGCGACCTGACTGCTCACACTGTACGTCTGGTAGCAACACGTCGGCCCTAAAAATATGCTAAAAATAGCCGTTTTTACTCAACACGTCAGACTTTTTTGTCTTGTTTTGCCTGTTGTCCTTCGGGAGTGCTGCAGGAGGACACACAGGGATTTATGGGGTTGGATGAGGAAAACAAAATAAAGTAAATCTGTGTTTTGTGATCAGTTTAATTTGACATGAACACGACAAACACGCTTTCTTGACAATCTTTGTGAGTAAAAAAATGTGTAGAAACAAAAACGAACAGCGTGTGTTATTAGGGAAATAGCGAGCGGCGTTGATGCAGGATTGCGCATGCGTCGTGAGCGGTTCTGGTACTTTTTGGGTTGCAGCTGCTCGCAGCGCCGCTTCAACAGTGCGATACCCTCACGAGGGACGAGCGAAATATTAAACATGCCAGAAGTCCGTGCGACCTCACGACTGCTGATCGGCAGCTGGTCACGTGGTGTTAATCGCCTCTCGTAACCCCCTGTACACTACACGACCGCTCGGCGCAAAACTCGCCCCGATGTCGTGGATTCTCGCACGAGTGGAAAATCGGCTCAAAAAAGTGAAAAAGTCGCACAGTGTACGCCCGGCTTTAAGGGAGAGCCCCGACACTCTGCAGAGAAAACTAATTTAGGCCGCTTGTATTCACGATCTCATTCTTTTGGGCACTACCCAACGCTTGTAACCATAGGTGAGGGTTGGAACGTAGATCGACCGGTAAATCAAGAGCTTTGCCTTCTGGCTTAGCTCTCTCTTCATCACGACAGACCGGTACAACACCCGCATCACTGCAGATGCAGCACCAATCCACCTATCGATCTCATGCTCCATCGTTCCCTCACTCGTGAACAAGACCCAAAGATACTTAAACTCCTCCGCTTGAGGAAGGACTTCATCCTTGACCTGGAGAAGGCATTCTACCCTTTTCTGACTCAAGACCATGGTCTCTGATTTAGAAAAGCTGATTCTCATTCCAACTGCTTCAAATTCAGTTGTGAAATACTACAGCAAAAGCTGGAGAACAGTGTCTGGTGAAGCCAACAGGACCACATCATCTGCAAAAAGCAGAGACCCGATCCTCAGGCCACCAAAATGGAACCCTTCAACACCTTGGCTGTACCTAGAAATCCTGTCCATAAAAGTTATGAACAAAATCTTTGGCAAAAGGAAACTCTCAAATGAAACGAGCCCAACTTATTGCCGGCAATGCAGATCAAGCTCTGACACTTGTCATAAAGGGATCTAACTGCCCATATCAGAGGGCCTGGTATCCCATATTCCTGTAGTCACCCCCCATAGTGCCTCCCAAGGGATGCGGTCGAACGCTCTCTCCAAGTCTACAAAACACATCACGGCGGTTGAGTGAACTTTCACACACCCTCCAGGATCTACCAAAGGGTATAGAGCTGGTCCAGTGTTCCATGGCCAGGACAAAATTAACATTGCTCCTCCTGAATCGGAGATTGAACTATCTGATGGACCCTCCTCTCCAGAACCCCTGAATAGTCTTTACCAGGGAGGCTGAGGAGTGTGTTCCCCCTATAGTTGAATCACACACAGCGGTCCCGTCTTTTAAATAGGAGGACCATCACCTGGTCTGCCAATCCAGTGGAACTGCTCCAGACGTTCACACGATATTGTAGTGTCACATCAGCCAACACAGCCCGGCTACAGGGCTTCCTTAAGGAACTCTAGGCAGATCTCATCCCCCCTGGGGCCATACCACCGAGGAGCTTTTTGACCACCTCAGTGACCTCAGCATCCAGAGATTGGAGAGCCCAGCCCCAGTCTACCCTCACAGCAGGTTAACAGTCTGGGTGTCATTCTCGACAGTTCACCGTTTTTCCATGCCCACATCAATAACATAACTCGGTCAGCCTATTTTCATCTTCTATCCATAAATCATCTTCGCTCCTCCCTGACCCCTCATCCTGCAGCCATTCTCGTCCACAGCCTCGTCACTTCCCATCTTGACTACTGCAGTTCACTCCTTTTTGGTCTCCCCTATAAACTCCTTCATAAACTGCAACTGGTCCAGAATTCAGCAGTCCGTGTTATCACCGGAACCCCTTCCTTTCTCCATATCACCCCAGTTCTTCAGCAGCTCCACTGGCTTCCAGTTAAATTTAGGTCCACCGTCAAGATCCTCCTCCACACCTTCAAAGCAACACATAATCTTTCTCCTCCCCACTTATCAGACCTCATTAATATCGCCACCCCATCACGCTCACTCAGATCCTCTTCCTCTCTCTACCTTGTTGATCCTTCTGCACGCCTCATTATCATGGGGGAGCCACTCAGCTCCCCGTCTTTGGAACGCACTCCGCCCCAGACATCAGAAACATCGACTGCTTCACTCTTTAATCCAGACTGAAAACTCATCTGTTCAAAACTGCTTATGACTTGTTTCATTTGTTTTATTCTTGGTATTTTACAGCATTTTATTGTGTTTTATCTTGTGAAACTGACCATTAGTGTTTTGAAAGGCGCTTTCTAATAAAATAGATTATTATTATTAAAGAACTCAGACTCTGCTTCCTCACTGGTAGAAATGCTGGTGGGATTGAGGTCTTTGAAGTATTCCATCCACCGATCCACAATGTCCCGAGTCGAGGTCAGCAGCACACCATCCCCACTATAAACAGTGTTGTAACTGTTGGAGATTTTAATGTAATACTGTCTTAAATGTTCCTTTTTAAGTAATCATATGTTAATCTTATGATTGTGAAGTAAGCCACAGGGCTTTCTCCTCTTCTCTCTGGCTGTGGAATGCAGCAGATAAGCCCTAATGTTTGTCTGGTATGCTGTGGGGGTTGGTGAAATAGCCTGTCCGGCAACAGGTATCCATGGTTACGGAGTTTCTGGCTGTCAGTCATAAATTAAGGCTTCTTTTCTGGAATGCTCTGCTTGGCAGCAGAAAAGTCAGCAGTCACCCCTGTAACTTGAGACTTCCTTTTTAGAAGGTCCCACCTTAGATAGAAGCAACAGTGTTATTGGTTAAGTGTGGACAGTGATGGATTGTTCTTTGTCCTTAGGTGCCTGTGGTTCAATAAAACCATCTGTGGTGGAGAGAACACGCCAGAGTTAATCGGACAAGGGCCTTGGACAGGCTTTTGGCCGGTTGGTCTCCGCTGCCTCTTTACAGCGTACAAAGCCTACTGACTTCTCTCCCGTGTTGTTCCTTTAGGATATAAAAATACCCAACAGTAACGCACTGCTTTCCTCTCTTGAGGCGCTGGACGGTGGACCAGAATCTCCTCAAAGCTGTACAAAGTCTTGCTCCATGGTCTCACTAAACTCCTCCCACTCCCGGATTTTGCCAGGTGTAAGTTACCATCATACAAGTGCCTCATGATTTTTATCTTGAGAGGCGCTATATGAAAGATTGTTTCCTCTTCAAGTTCTTCACAATATTACTGGGCAGTGGAAGAGGATGGCACAGGGCTTAGTTTATATGTCCGTTAAAACTGAGTGACACTGGTGATGAGAGGGTGAATGAGCAAATCTCTGACAACCGGTGTTGTCACAGTTACCATGAATACATAATTCGATTACAGGTTCAATTTTATAAATATAGATTGGCCTTCTACTCCTATCCAGAGTGGCCAAGGGCCTCTTGGAAGCTTCTCCGACCAGGGTTCTCCTTGCTTTCTCTATCACTTCAGGTGGGCGGTCAAGTAGATTTGCAGTTGTAGCATACTTTTGCATTTTGGGATGACAGACTGCTCCTTGTGATCTTCAAAGCTTGGGATATTTTTTGTTTATTTTAACCCTGATTTAAACGTATCTAAAACTTTTATCACTAGGTCAGTGATAAAGTTTTAGTCTGCTGAGTTCCTTGGTCTTCATGATGCTGTTCGTTCAGTAAAGTTCTAACAAACTACTGAGGCCTTCACAGAACAGACAATGAGACTAAATTACACACAACTGAACTCTTGTGACCTATCTAGCTGATTTCTGAAGGCAATTGATTTTATTGGATTTTATTTAGGAGTGTCAGAGGACGGGGGCTGAATTCAAATGCATGACACACTTTTCAGAATTTTATTTACTTATGGTGTCCCACAAGGTTCTGTTCTGGGGCCCCTGCTATTCATCCTTTATCTGCACCATCTCCGGCACATGCTGAGTTTTTTAAAGGAATCTCCTAACATCTTTACACAGATGACATCCAACTGTACATCTCCTTTAAGCCCAATGAGACGTCTCAGCTGCAGCTGCTACACACCTGATTAAACTTTATTAAAAACTGGAAGGCTGGGAACTTTCTTCAGCTGAATGAAGATAACCCCCCGTTAGGAATCTTGGTGTGACCTTTGACCCAGCTCTCACCCTGGATTCTCATATCAGTTCTCTTGTTGGCTCTTCCTTCTTCCATCTCAGGAACATTGCTAAGCTAAGTGCCATTCTGTCCCGCTCTGAACTTGAGACTGTTCTCCACACCTTCATCTCCTCACGCTTAGACTACTGCAATTCTCTTTTCATGTGTCTGAGCAGAACCTCCCTGATCCATCTATAGGTGGTGTGGCTCCTAGTCGAACAAAGATGAGCCTTACTGATGGTTAAAGATGGTTTCCTTTTAATTAGAACCTGTTCCCAACATGCCACTCCAATAACCAACGTAAAAGCTAGTAACAAACACAGTGCTTAACTTGAGCCGGATCTTGCCGGAACAAGATTCGGGAACTGTCTTATTTTTGAAAGGACCGTTCCGGCAACTGTCTGCTAGGATCCGGCAACTCACGCGACCAACTTGTGATATACGCAGGGTTTGAATTACAGGTGAGCTAAAGGGATCCTGGCTCACCCCAAAGTATGACAGGCTCCCCTGGAAGCCCTCAGTTTACACACCCAGGGGGAGCCCGAAAACGATTCTGGTTCTACTTATATTACATTATCTACGTGGACTCTCCGGGGATTATTTAGAGCTGAGAGGCGCAGAGCTCTAACGCACTACAGACAGATGCGTCCTGAGCACGGCCACAGTAACATTATCAAAGTGTCGCCACCTCAAAAACAAATTTAACACGCGATCGTTCATGTCGGCTCATATCCTTTCATGCTTTCTGTCTTTTATTTGTGCCTGATATGTTTCGCTGCTGCGGAGCGGAGCGTATCACCCGTTTTGTCCTCCGGTGATTTCCCCTTACCGGTGCAGCCGGCGCGCATGCCGCTGTATTTGCGGTCGGTAGATCTTTTAGAACTGCAGTTCAAAGGTAACTCATAAGGTGAATATATATTGAAGCCAGGTAGCAGTTTGTCTTTAGGACTGAGAGGAGATGCAGGAAGATAATAAACGGGCAGGACAGAAAAATAGTCAAATAAAAACAAGTTAGTTTTGTACCTGGTGGTTGCAACAGACACCATTGAAAATAATCAGAAATGAGGAACAGAAAATGAAATAATTATTTTAATGTTTAGAGCAGCAGGAACTCCGAGAGGCTGCAGGCACATTCAATTCAATTCAATAATACTTTATTAATCCCAGAAGGAAATTAGAGTTTCAGTACACACAATTCTGAGATCAGACATACATACATACATACATACATGACAAGAATTGGTGACTGTGGTCATTCGCAACTCGAGTCGCACTACCGTAATAGATCAAGAGGGTTTATATGAGGATAGAGTCAGGGGGAGGGAAAAAAAGGCACTTCAGAGTTACTCTCACCCGAGAGGGAAGCTTTGCTATGCAAAAAAATCAGGGAGTTTGAGGCCGCTGCGCAGGGGAAAAGTAGATGCAAAAACTGCCGTTGTTGAAAGAAATGTGTTCACTTTGAAAATGTGCGCGCAATTTTTAATTGTCAAAAACTCCAGCAAATCAACTGAAACACACACACGCACACACACACACACCCACACCCTGCGTGTTCCGGCATCTGTTTCGCCTGTAGTGAACTTTGGTTTGATGTCACTATTTGCGTTCTGGAACGTTTCATTTACAAATTAAGCACTGAATAAACACACACAAAAGTAATACAATAAAATGTCACCTTAAAGGTTTTAAAAATTATCTATGAACATCAATTAACCTCTATACTTATTCTAAATAATTATTGCAATAAGCATAAATCTACCTTGTTCCTCCTTTTCGACTGGTGCTAACCCTTTGTTTAATAAGTCCGTATCTTAGCTTTGACATTTGTCATTGTCCTGGTTACCATCAAGCAACTGAAATTACATTACAATCATGTCTTTCAAAATAAATCACTTCTAGCTCTACAGGAAATTTCACTATAAAAATAACAAAATACTAATGATCCCATTAATTAATGGTCATTACAGGTGGTTCAGAACGCCTGTGCTCGGTTTCCGACCAAGTCCTCCAAACACACCCACATCACCCCGCTTCACCTCCAGCTTCACTGGCTGCCAATCAACTTCAGGGTTCATTACAAGATCCTGGTTCTGGTCTATAGGGCCTTACATGGACAAGCACCATCTTACATTGGTGATCTTCTTAGTCCCTACACCCCCAGCAGGTCCCTGAGGACCAGTGGTCAAAGCCTACTGGTTGTGCAGCACCAGGCTAAAGACCAAAGGTGACTGATCATTTGCTGCTGTGGCCCCCAGACTCTGGACCTCTCTCCCCCCGAGCCTGAGATCAGTGGACTCAGTAGTCTCCTTTAAAATCACCTGTTCAGGTTTTGGTGTGACTTGCTGTTCATTCTCTTCTTCCTCACCAACTTCTTTTTCATGCTGCAGTTTCTGTCACTAAAGGTTGTGCTAGTAGCCTACAGCCTGTGTGTTTGTGTGCATAATTTTTCTCCTATTATCTTGGTGTATGTGTCGCCTTAACATTAATCAACATCAGCATTAATAGATTAATGAAGTATATTCTTCTATATTTTGGCTTCTCGTGTATTTTCATTTGTATTTTTTAGGGCTGGGGGTAAACGATTATTTTTAAAACGATTATTCTGACGATTATTTTATCGAATAGTCGACTATTCTAATGACTATTTATACAATTAATCTAATGATTATTTTTCTATTGCACAGTTAATAAAAACCAAAAAATCTCTAATAAATTCCTCCAAAAAATTGATTAATTGTTACTGTAAGAGAATAAACACTACAGGCCTCCCATTTTGTATAGCCCTGCTTTTATTGTGTTGGTTGGTTATGATCTGGTGACGTGTAGATCTTGGGAGTGCAGGCTGCTGCCTGAGAGGTGGTTGGAGACGGAGTGTCTCCATGCTGCTTTGTTTTGGTCACTTATGTGCGTGAGGCGAGTGGTGTTACGACCCTTCCTGGGGAGTTTGGCTCGTGTGCAAAAAGGAAGGGACAATAATGTAGGATTTAAAAGTTAAAATGATGATCAGGTTTATTTACAACTACAAAAAAACAAATCTTTCAATCCACAGGTTGGGAATAATAAAACTAATTCTGCCTGTGGGGAATTAAAACAAAAGTACAAATAACCTGGGATGTCCCACTGGGCAAAGATTACAGGGTTTTGGACCAAAATAAGAATCTCCAAAGTTCCAAACTCTAAACTGGGCGGTTAAACCAAACTCAGGTGATATTTTAAACTAAACCGAAAACCCACAACACTCTAAATGTAATAAAAGGGAGATTTTATTACATTTAGACATTTATTAATTTGTACCACAAATTATTATTTTTTATATGTGTTCAACATGTTTAAATATCGCTTGTTTAATTAACCAACATTTCTAGTGTACAGCGCCTTGTTTGGTTGTAATGCCTTGTGAATGCGCTTTATAAATAAAATTGGATTGGATTGAAAAACGATGAACTCTAAACCAAAACGTAACAGCTTATCCAAACGCAAGAAGCTGTTAGCGAAAATGCTAACAGTAGCTTTACCAACGTTAAGTTCAAGTTGCCAAGTTTAAATAAACCAAAAACACCCAGCAGCAAACAGACCAGCACGGAGGAGAGACTGCTACCACCAAAACAGCTCTCCCAATGTCTGAAAGAAGCTCCTTTATGAAGGGAGAAACGCTCCCGGTGATGTTCTGCATCTGCTATAGAGACGGAGCAGCGCATTTGACCCCGGAAGTTGTTGTCCGTTGCCGGGAAACGAAGGCGGGCAAAACAGGAAAGGAACCTAGTAGCGGACGGACGTTGTTCCAGGTCTTCGGTATTTAGTGGAGATGTTAGTGAAGGCAGAGAAGAGGGCGAACTAGAGGAAAAACAGGCAGATTCCACCTCTATTTACAAACTCCTGTGGATGCAACAAGTGGGCGTGGTGCGTCGACTACCGGATCTGACGTCGACGAATTTTTAGAATCGAGCCGTCGACGTCATCGAGGCTTCGCTACAGCCCTAGTATTTTTATTTTTGAAATGTCACTTTTATTGTGCGGATCTCTGATCACTCTCACTGAAGCAGAAAATAAGGCTAACAGAGGTAGGATGTGATATTTCACACACTGACCAGCAGACTTGGACAGACTTGCAGTGCTTCCAGAACTCCTGGTATGCTGAAGGCCTCACAACCTCGGACTCGTCTCCTTTCAAGGAAACGAGGATGAAGACCGTACAGCTGCTCCAGGTCAGGCATCTTCTTCAAAAGAGTCAAAAAGCTACTGTCTGTAAAACCTACAAACATAGAAACAAACACAAAATTGTTCCTTAACACACCAACAGAAGCCTTAAAGGTGGGGAACACTCCAAAAACTTTTTTAATGATTATTTATGATTATAATGAGTCACACTGAGTTTTTCATGCAGGCTGAACATGAAAATAGTCTCCTACACCTATCTCCTGCATTAGCTTCTGACGGTGAAACTCTAGGATTAGAAAATCCTGACAGATCTACGTCACACTGTCACTAACATTCATGGAGGCTTGTGTTATTTGTGGAGATAAAACATCAACGTTGCAGAGCAAACTGAGTCAGTGGTAGAGCTGTTAGCCAATCAGAGGAGAGATGTCCACATATCAGGAAATAAAACTCCAGATCATTCTGAAACTCTATTCTGATGTGAAATTTTCTAATTCCTGACACCGGTACACTGGGTTTTTTTTTTGTCCCCAGAGTATGACTTACAAGGCACTCATACCTACTAGAGACCGCTGCAGATGTGTTGAATAAACAAGTGCTCCACATCTACGCTCATTTTTCCATTAATCTGCTGTAGCCTCTGGTATGAACAAATGTCTTGTGGGACGTTCTCTGTGGGGAAAAAGCTGATGCTAATGCTTCAGGAAGTAGAAGTTGGTTGGGGCATCTAGTTCATTAATATTCATGATATCTCACCTCTGATTGGCTAACAGCAACGCAACTCTTCCACTGCCTCCGTTTTTTATTCACTTGTCAGCGAAACCTCTTCTTTAACTAGAGGCAGCAGATGTCTGACCTAAGACATGGTAAAATATGGTAAATGGCCTGTAATTGTATAGCCCTTTCTTAGGGTTCTCCCCCAAGGTACTTCACAACACAATCAGTCATTCACCCATTCACGCACACATTCACACTCTGGTGGGGATGAGCTACAATGTAGCCACAGCTGCCCTGGGGCGCGATGTCAGAGCGAGGCTGCCGAGCACTGGCCCTCCGACCACCACCACCAACAGGCAAGGCGGGTTAGTCTTGCCAAGGACACAACAGCAGCATTCTCTGGTTGGAGCCAGGATCGAACCTGCAACCTTCAGATTACTGGACGACCCGCTCTACCTCCTGAGCTACTGTTGTCCCTTCCTCATCTCTTCTCAAGCTCAGTCACCAGGATGTACGAGTAATCATGTTGCCAGGTTCCTCCTGGTCTTGTACGTGTGATTCAGCCACTTCCTGCTGTGGCTCAAAGCTGTTCAAGGTTCTGATATAAATTCATATGGATCAGTCGACAGATCAGAGGAACCTGTCCGACGTTTCATGCTTAGGTCATGCTTCTCTGATGTTTATTCATCAGGTTTAAATTAGGGTTAGTGACAGGATGTGTTGCTCTGGGTGTCACGGCGGGGTCGGACCTCTCACCTGCAGGCACATGTACTCCCACCAGCGACCTGCACACAGATCCACCAGTTTGATTACTCGCAAGTACAGACTCACAGCTTCACGAAGCTTTTTAGACAGAAACTCCATGCACATGATGTCCTTCATAGGAAGGTACCTGCAAAACAGAAGTGTCGCTGTTTAGAGCTCTATCCTAGCATAAGAAATGGCTCAGTGATGGACATGCTGTAATAACACGTTCAGATTCAGACTGTAGCGATGTGCTAGAAGGTTTTAAATCTAGAGAATTAGAACACACTCATCTTCACCCAGACTAGGACGCATTTTCAATGGCGACAAGAGGATTTCATGTTTGGTATTTTAAGGTGGAATACGTCCGGGGCAATACAAGCCAACAGTATCACAACAATCAGCTTAAAGGGGGACATATTATGCAAACCTGACTTGTTGTGTCCTTTTTGCTGCCATGTGGATCTCTACTGCCTCTTTTAAACACTCAAAATGGGAAAAAAAACATCCTCCTATTTTAGTCAGTTTAGGAATTTTGTGCCTTTTTAAACATCTACAATTTTGACATCACAAACAGGTA